CTTTTTTGTTATAATACAATGGCGACTGGATTTTATATACAGCTCCCCCTTTTTCCGGAAGGTTGGGTACCGAAAACCTCTTATGAAACAACCTAATTAAATTGAAAGGTAACAGAGAAGCTAGTCTAAAATACCTGAAGAGTTTCATTTATATAACTGCTCAAGGATGAAAAATGTAAGAAATTCGTCATTGCATTCCAAATAAAGCCACCGTATATTTCAATTGAAGCTTCTTGTTTGTCCCAGTATAAAAGCTTTCTTCCCGATTTGCATGGGAGCGAGACACTCCAATGTTTATTTGCCTTTCATAGCCAACATTCCTGGCTTTCTGTTGACGTTCCTAATTTCTTCTATGAATAGCAGACTTTATCTTATTTTAATACAGAACATGGTTTCTTCCCAGATAAGAATCATTTGGATTAATTACAGTCAAACTTGTTTTACTCTTCGCATTGATCCTATTGACCTTCCTTCGTTTTGAAGTTTCGTAACATGGAAGAAAAGTGCAAGATCATAAAAAGGCAGGCGTATATTTAATTTAACAGATTTGTCTTTTAGTTGCTTGAACAAAAGCTTTATAAAATGTAATAAATGAGATTAGAGTGATGGTTAACGGCTCGGATTGAGGAATCTGAGGTTCGAATTCCATTGGAGTTCATTGCATTCACTTTCGTGCTAATACCCTTGTGAAATGTATGAATTCACCTTTTCTCCTCCTAGCTATGTGTAAAATAGCAGGGTACTGTAGCCTTGTCTGGCAGCCAATCTAGGAGAATTAAACTTTGATTTCAAACTATCTGTTGCCTCTTTAATTTCGAAAACATATCCACCAGGTACAGGGTATAGTCAACATCTCCGGTGCAAACGGAACCGGCCAGTCATTGCACTAATCCGCTTTAAATGTCATGAGAACGTAGGGGAGTTACAGGGAGTAAAAAAGAATAAGACTGTGATTGGGGAGAGTGGGGAAAAGACGAAAGAGAACGGTGTTCAAGAAGACAGAAAATTGATGTTGCATTTAAATTTTTGAACATTGTAGTTGTCAGGGAAGCAAGAAATTGGAAGCGAGTTTCATATGGTGAAAAGTGCAAAAAAAAAAAAAAGAAAAAAAAACACTGTTAGGGTAGAAGTGTCGATTGCATTTAGCTTGTAAGACGATAAGACCTAGTTGCAAATAGGGGAAAACAATTGTATTTAATTATGATCACGCACATGAAAATACACAAGACTACTACTTTTTATATAAGGAATCTCAGAAAGTGATGAAACATTTACGTGAAAAGAGAAATGTAAAATCTGTTCAAAAATGTCACCTATTTCACTTATTAATTCTTTTTTTTTCTGTGTTGTTTCATTTTAATTTCTTTACTCCGCTGCCCTTTCTCCGGTCTTAACTGTCTTTCCTGGCTGAAGGTTGAGCGGGAGAATAAAAGTCCAAGTAGCGGTGATTGTCTCGGATGAAACGATGAAAATAAGGCTAAATTGCTAAGTTGACGAAGCTGCGCTGAAATGCACTGATATTAGAACCCAGAGATGAAAAACTACCTGAAAATTATTAAAAACAATGTTTTATTGTCGAAATCTTTAAGAAGACCAAAGAATTTTTAATTATTAAATTCTATGATTTTTAATCCTTTTTAGAACGTTTCAAACTTTGGTTAAAAATCTTGTTTTTTGCGTCAGAGGGGGGAGGGGGCAAAATGAATATAGGGAATTTTAGCTTCTTTTTTTGCTGTGAATTGGAAATTGATTTGGAAACATTTGCAAAAATCAGTCTGATTTTAATTATACTTTCAGGACTTAGTTAAAAATGAATTAAATTATTCGAGATTATTATTAAAAATACACCTTTAAGTGTTGAATCTAGATGCGTCGTCAGTGTTGTTGATCTCATGTCACTAGAAGTTTCGGGTCTAAATAAACAACAGACTTCTTCGATGGGCGACCCGACTGAATATGATTAGTATTCGGCCCGCACCCTGAATAAAATTTGCTACTAGCTTTGGGACGTGCATTAAATTCCCTCAGCAAACAGCAACTAATCAAGACTTCACTTGCGCTATTCGATGTTATAGATTAGGTATGCTTGGTTGTACTGATCTTCCTACATGCGGCCAAGACACGGTATTTTTTGGAAGAAGAGAAGAAAACAAAACTAATATATTAAAAAATAAAACGATTTATTATATTGGCACGTCTTACGACTTTTTCTTTCTCTTCCTCCTCTTTTAACTTCTCTATTATATCTTATTTGTTTGGTCTTTCTCTCTCTTTTTTTAACTTTCCTTTTCTTTTTTTCTTCTTTTTCTTTTCTTTTTTTCTTTTCCTTTTCTTTTTTTCTTTTTTTTCCTTTTTTTTCTTTTCCTTTTTTTTCTTCTTTCCTTTTTTTTTTTCTTTTTTTTTTTTTTTTTTCTTTTTTTTTTTTTCTTTTTTCCTTTCTTTTTTCTTTTCTTTTTTCTTTTCTTTTTTCTTTTTTTTCTTTTTCTTTTCTTTTTTTTCTTTCTTTTTTTTTTTCTTCTTTTCCTTTTCTTTTTTTCTTCTTTTCCTTTTCTTTTTTTCTTCTTTTCCTTTTCTTTTTTTCTTCTTTTCCTTTTCTTTTTTTCTTCTTTTCCTTTTCTTTTTTTCTTCTTTTCCTTTTCTTTTTTTCTTCTTTTCCTTTTCTTTTTTTCTTCTTTTTTCTGCTTTTTTTTCTTCTTTTTTCTGCTTTTTCCTCTTCATTTCTTTTTTTTCTGATTTTTCTTCTTTTATTTCAAGTAATTCTTACAGATATATCCACCGTAGAAAAATGAGATAAACTGTCTGTTAGTCAAACTGTCAACACCTTAAATAAATAACTACCACTACGTTAAAAAATACATTCCTGTGACATTTTAAGTCAGTAAAATATTTGTTTCAAATCGGATTTATTAAATCATTAATATTATTCACATTTTCAGAAAAGGTTTTATTTTTGAAAGATTTTTAAATAAAGATAATTACATTGTGATGAAAATCGGCAATTTCACTAGCAATTTCATAACGAAAACTCCTTCCAGTCAATTTTAGTTAGTTTATAAATACAGTAAGGTATTTTGCTTATTGGAAATATGAGATTTAATCTAATTAGCCTGAAATAAAAGCTTCAAGAACAATTTCTCATTTTAAAACTTCGTTATCGCGAATTTGTGGAGGTACCTACTGTAATATATTCTAAATGTTTGTCATGACACCGAAGTTAGAATCCGTTATTGTTAATTTTACTTTTATAATTGCTGTCATTCACGAGTTTGCATGTAAATTTGTCCAATTGGTCACTTTGGTGTTTTTACTAAAAACTAATATACTTATACTATATGTGCTAGTCAAAGAAAAGCTACTTAATAAATATATATATTTGAGTTAAGTATAAAAATCTTGGTAATCCGTATGGATAATCCCAAGGAGGATGAAATCCTAAGAGCTCAATGTTAAGTCAGTGAATAATTTAATTTAAAGATAAACAGACTACTTTATGGCTTCATTAGTTATAATTTATTTCACCAGAGAATTTTATCTTTCTCTGAATCTTCAGACTTCACTTTCAAAGGTGAAACGAAAATATTATATATAATTAATTTTATTTTAGGATATTACATAGAAAAACATCCTAAAATAAAGAATATTGTTCTATTTTGTATTGATCCCTATTTTAAATGTTACAAACGTTGCAATTGTACTCTATCCGTTCTCATCTTCCCTGGGTATTATATATATAATATAGTATAGGTAATAATCCGTTGGTATATAATCTAAGCGGATCCTAATGATATAAAATATTAAAACTGATCCACAAAAGATATATATATATATATATAAACACATTATATAATGTTATATAATGTTTTCATGTGATCGGGGAAGCGGATGCTTTTGTCACTCGCTGTTGAAAAGGAATCACAGACGGCCTTCGGCTTTGGAAGAGTACATTGTATCAAATTTATAATGTCCTACTTTTCAATGTAATGAATACTGAGTCGATTTTCTCAAGCGTCTCGAATCAGTCATTTGTGTGCTGTACTTGATCCACGCTCGGCTGATTGTTTCTTTCTCTTCATGGCTGACTTGGCACTAGATTTTCATGCCGTAACTTGTTCTTTTGAGCACTCTCTTATTGCCCTGACATAAAAGTAGGTAACTTCAAAACTTTCTTTAAAAAAAAAACATGCATCATCAAAAAGCCGCCTAAATTTATTAACAAAAAAATTTTATCTTTATCGTCAAAATTTTTATTAAGAACAAAAATAGCACCTTCAAAATTTTGTTTAAAAATCTTGATCAGCGACTTGGTCAAAAATTCTTATCGGGATTTTTAACGTCTTTTTGGCGTTAGAACACACATTTTAGAAATTCTTGCCAAAAAATCAAATAATTGTCAGATTTTAATTAAATTATCAGGACTCATTCACAAATGAATTAAATTATTTTTTTTTATTTATTTATTTTTTTTTTTATTTTTATTTTTTATTTTTTTTTTTTTCGGTAATCTTGGTAAAATTTGTAAAGAGCCATGATCGCCCACTTCCTGAAAAGACATGTCACATACAAAATGAAGCCTGCATGTCTTCTGGGACTAAATCGATGTAGTACAGCCCCTGCTCAAAAGGCCTCCCTAGGGAAGACCCTTTTGAGCAGGGGCTGTACTGCATCATTATACATCATTAAATTATAACAAATCTGGTTCTCTTCTCATCATGTGTGCGTGTGACTATCTCTACTGATTGATTGATTCGTTTTTACGGCTTATCAACCCTTTGCAGGTTATTTAAAGCTAGAAAATATTCAGATCGTAAGAATTATTTTGGAGATAAGTATTTTAGTGATACATATCTTACTAATTAACCCATAGCTGGGAAAAGGGATTCATACCTTTTCCCCAAGAATATTTGTGCGTCAGTGAATATAACGAACCCAACTGGAATTGGAACTCTGCTCTTTGATTAACAATTCCGAGCCTTTATCCATTACATAAACTGCAAACTTAGAACACCTGGTATTCTGAAGCGGTCACCCATCTCTGTACTGACCAGGCTCGACGTTGCTTAACTTCGGTGATCATACAGAACTAGTGTTTCTACGTGATATGGCCGTAAACCCGAAATGATAAGGTATAAGGATGCGAAATTTAAAAAATTTCTGGCATCTGTCATTTTAATCCATGTAAGATAGACATTGTTTTCTCTTTTGGTTAACGTCAGACCAACATTGCTTATTTAATGTCAAATTCTAAAAATTTTGTCCACAATTTTATTCATTCATGTATTTATTTGTGAGGGGAGGGTAATAACGGTTACTAATTAACCCATAGCTGGGGGCGAGAAGAGGTGAATTCATACCTTTCAAACAAATGCAGAAATGAAGTAAGGGATCAATTCTATATCAAAATCAATATATAAACTAATCCCTCACTTTGTGGCCACTATATGTTCAATACATTAATGTAAATAAATCTGAAAGACAATGCCTGTGTATCAAGTTATTTAAAGCCAGAAAATAATTTAGATTGTAAGAATTATTTTAAGTCATTTTTATGTTTTCTATATTCTTTTTATAGATACAAATATTTAAGTAAATGCTCTGTTTTATAATAAACAGTATTAATAACATTTACCAGCCTGAATGTCCGAGAAATTTTCATAGAAAAATCGAACGATCCCCCGTGGCTCGATCAGTTAAGGCACGTCAGGCTATATGACGGTTCTGTACAGGATACAGGTTCGATTCCTGTCGGAGGACGAATATTTTCTAGCCTGACGTGCCTTAACCGATCGAGCCACGGAGGATCGTTCGATTAGCAAGGTCGATTTTTCTATGAAAATTTCTCGGACATTCAGGCCGGTAAATGTTATTAATACTGTTTATTATAAAACTTACTTAAATATTTGTATCTATAAAAAGAATGTACAAATATAAAAACATACAATATTACAGCACCTGGTACCCCCAAGTCGTCACCCATCGAGGTACGGGAACTCGTGTTTCAACGTGATATGGCAGTAAGCATCTAATGCATATGTCTTTGTGTGTGAATGTGCTGTTTAACACATGGTTGTGTCCTTTAATGTACACAGAATCGCACTCGTATATACACACTGATCCTGAAAGCCCGAGAGTTTCTGGACGGATCCTGAAAGCCCGAGAGTTTCTGGACGGATCCTGAAAGCAATAAATGATGTCCTTGAGTTGAAGTATGATCCGATCTCATAGTGCAGCCATCCCTATGTAAATTGGTTTTGTAAGTTCATACCATATTAGCCATTAAAATAGCTACCTTGAAAGATTCGCTAAAAAGTGATCATGCCATAATGAAAGAATGCCCAAAACTTAATAAATTTTTACCTTTTGAATTCTTGTTATTAAGAGGATTTTTTTTATTAAATTATATTTTTATCCTTTTTAGAACGCTCTAAATTTTGCGTCAGCGGAGGTCCATAAATTGGCGTAGGAAAATTTAGCGTCTTTTTTGTGGTAAAAAGCAGACTGATTTGGAAAAATTTGCGAAAATAAAATATTTGTCTGATTTTAATGAAACTTTAGGAGTTATTTAAATTATTTTAGAAATGTTTCCTTTTTAGAAAATTTTAGTAAAAAACTTTTTTTTTTTTTTTTTTTTAACATCTGTTATCCCCCCATCCCCTATTTAATTTTATAAAATTTCGAGAAATTAATTTTTGTACAGCGTAATGTAAATTCAATGGAGAAATCCTTGAAGAATTTAAATCTGTTTTTTTGAAAAACAGGACACCCAGTTACCGAAAATCGACACTAAATCGTAAAATAAACAATACAATAAAATTTAAGACTCGATTTAATTAGAAAAATTATGGACACTGTTGTCTTGAGAAAAAAAATTTTGCAAGAATTGTTTGCATATTTTTTTTATTAAAAAAATTAGAAAAAATTAAATCTTAAAAATTCCCTATCAATCTGTACGGTATAAGTGATGTTGTTATTAATTAAAAACTATATTTTAGTAATTATAAATGGAAAAGTTTACTACAATTCAGTGGCACCCACCCACCAGTATTTTAAAAAGAATGTCGAATTTGTGCGCGTGTGTATAAACGTGCCTATTTTTGTAAATATGGATGTCCATACACGACATTATCAGAAAATAACAGCGATAACTATAGTAAATTTAAAACCAAAGTATCCAAAATTCGATAAAAATAAGATTACGGAAAATATTTTCCTAAATTTTTAAGATTATAAAAAAAGCGCTCACATATTTCTAACGTAATTTTTACAGATATATCCCCCGTAGAAAAAAAAATACTTAAATTTCCAGTTGTCAAGAAAGTTGTCAGGCTGTCAAAGCTTTGAACACCTTAGATAAACACGTGCATCTGTGTTGAAAAATGCATTTCTGCCATATTTTAAACTCAAAGTAAGAAATATTTGTTTTAAAATCAGATTAATTAAACTTTAAATCAGGTAATCTTCCTCAAATAAGGTTTCAGAAAAGTTTTATTTTTGAAAGATTTTTTTTAAATCAAAAGAATTCCATTGTGCTGGCAGATGACTAAAAATGTCTAAAATAGCGATTTAAAAAAAATCCTTCGTCAATTAGTTTTGAAATGCAGCAAAATATTTTGCTTATTTTAAATATTAAATTAGCTTGAAAATTGAAAAAATAAAATCTTCAAGAAAAAAAGGTTTTAATTTAAAAAAAATTCATTTTAAACCTTTTGGTATCGCGTTTCTTTGGCGGTAACTTAAAATCTCGCTGTTTTAGATATATTTCACTAAAATATTTATTTTTTCTCGATATTAAAGAATGGAAATGAACCGGATATTCAGCCATTGTGTGTGTTCTCTTAATTTCGAATTTTCGGGAAAAACTAGACACATCCGATTAATTAATCGTATTTATCTGTCTGATATGACTTTGTTTATTATATCTTTATAGACTAATAAACTGTGAAAATAAAATAGTGTCCTTCATTAAGAACTAGCAGTAGAGCCCAGAGTTGCCCGGGGATGTAACAGTAAGAGATAGATCAAGTATCGACCATCATAAAGACTGAAAAATAAAATTGACAAAGATTGTTTAAGGTTGACGGACATGCATGTCTTAATTAGTTTTTCTTTTTCTTTTTTTGTTCGTTTTTTTTTGTTTTTTGTTTTTTTTTTGTTTTTGTTTTTTTACGAATTGGTCAAACAAAAACATTGTTTTCAATCGTTATCAGTCTATCGATTTAATAGAATTTTATTATAAACAATTATCTTGTAAATAGAATTTTTAAAGCATTCTGAATGTAAAAATAAAGGAAAAAGTGTGCAAGACAATAAGAAACACTACTTGCCAAAAAAAAAAGTGAAGTTTTGTTGAAATCGGTTGAAAAATGTCGGAAATCCGATCCCATATATAAACGAACGCAGACACACACACACACACACACACACACAACCAACCAGGATTTTATAATAAGTAAAACTCGATATTTCATTAATGCCTCTTAATCGTGTTTTCAAATTGATTTCGTGCAAAAACAATTGTTTTTCCAATTTTTGGCGGTAAGGTAATTTTACGTAGTCCTGTGAAGTTTTGAAATCGGTTGAAAAATGTAGGAAATCCGATCCAATATTATAAACACACACACACACACACACACACACACACACACACACACACACACACAATCTGCGTTTTATAATAAGATGAAGAGAGAAAACTTGATTAAAAAAAAAAAATGAAATCAAAATATAAACAAACGCTATATCATGTGAACAAATCTATTCTAAATTTAAACATTACCCTGATTCCCAAATAACAAATATACCCGACTTCCAAAATAACTTTTGTAAACAATTCTTATCAACACTTGCATACTTTTTTATTTTTTTTTATCATCTACTAGAATTATTTTGCAACATGCTTTTTGTGAAAGTTTTGCAAACAAATCAGTTTATTCAAATGTCATCGATTGATTTGCAAAATTGAACGAAATGTACAGTTTGTAAATGTCGATAAAAAATGTTAGCAATAACTTCAACTAAATACTGTGTCAGCGTATTGCAAAAAAAAATCCAGTCTATGACTTCTGTTAGCCCATCCATAAGATAAAAATAGCCGTATACATTGACCGATCGAAACCAAATTTAGGGGAGGTGTGTAAATAGACAAGGGGGTTGCAAAGTGCAGTCGGTTTTAGAGTGCATAGCTTAATACAATAATTTATTTATTTTTTATTTTTTTAAAAATTTTTGTTTATGTTTTGTTTGTCTTGTTTTGTTTGTTTGTTTGTTTTGGGGGGGTGTTGTTTTTGTTTTGAAAAATTAAATTTTAACTCCTATTTTAAATACAATAATGATTAAAATAACAAATACCTACTTAATAAAAATGCAATTTTTTTTCATGCATATCTTTAAGTTATATATATGAAGAAATATAGTCTTAAGGTGTGCTATATTTATGGGATAAAGTTCTCAATATCGGAGATAGAGCGTGTGTAAATATAAAAGTTAACATAGAAGTCAACACTTAGCTTAGAGGCGACAGTCTTTCATGCTATATGCAATCGTCAGGCCACCGATTGCATATAGCATGAAACACTGTCGCCTCTAAGTGTTGACTTCTATGTTTACTTATATATAACACTAGAATTAGAATGTTTTTGCAATACACTGACGCATATTGAAATCTTCAGTTCTTAGTATTGTTGAATTTATCGGTAACATTTTTGTCGATATTGACAAATTCTACGTTTCGTTCAATTTCGCAAACACTCGATGAAATTTGAATAAGCTGATTTTTTTTTTTGGGGGGGGGAACAATTTGACAAAACCCTACATTACTTCTGTACTCCTCCCCAAAATTTGGTTTCGATCTGTCAACGTATGGCTATTTTAAAGGCTGTGACCGACGAACGAATGAAAATCACAAAAAATAAAGGTGTCGTATCCTTCACAAGGAACCATTTTAAGATATGTGCAGACATCTTTAAAACCAAATTCTTAGTTGAAACAGCAAAATTGTAAATACACTCTGTACAATCTTATATAGATTGTGCTGAGTATTTTTTTCTTTTTTTTTTTCTTACTACACATTTCTGAAAATGTGTTCTTGTGTAGAGATTTACTTGACCCCCCC